GAAAGAGAATGAGCGATAAACTTCAGAATGTTCTAGAGTTGCCATAAGTGCCAGCGCAGGTATATAAGGGCGCCGCCACCACGAGGTGAGTTAGTTACAAGTCAGCAAGCTACAAGTAAAGTGAGCGGAGAATTGAGTTGCGAATAAGCAAGCTATAAGTTTAATTGTGTTAACAAGTAGTAAAGCGTTGTTATTGCTTTAACAAGTATTGTAAAGTGTTTTTACTGTATTAGCAAGTATTGTAAATTGTTTTTTGTACAATAAAGTTAATTGTACTACAATTTGGTCATCGTTAGCATTTATTTAACAATCCAGCGATACGAACCGGAGGATTTGGGAAATCCGGACGAGGGTTCAAGGATAATCGTAACATTATTTAACTCATTAATTCTGGATGTTTCTCTTTCATATGTTGTTGCATTTTCGAGCGTTTTTTAAACCGTTTCGGACAGCTGGGATATTGACATGCTAGCTTGGTGTCCAGACACTTCTCACTAAACAGATGAGCCTCATACTTTTCCACGGCACGAAATTTTGCATCACAATTGGGACAACTTTTTATTTGATCGCCACCATGCTGTTTATCCATATGCTCGCGTAACTTATCTACAGTCGAATATGCTTTGCCGCAGACAACGCAAGTCTCCTTTTGCTGAGACTTCTCGCCATTGAGCCTCCCTATATTTTTCGGCTCTTCTTGACTGGATTCTATATGCTTTAATTGCTTAGATTTCTTTGGTGTTTCTTGAACTCGTCGTTTCTTCGCTGATGTATCTTGATCTTGCCCGGAACCGGAATATATGGGTTGCGAATCACTCACTGTATTCAAATCGTATTGACAATGTTTATTTGTTACGTGGCTCTGTAGTAAGCTGTAGCGCTCGTATGCAGCTGAACAGTAAATACATTTGTAAATACCGCCATCGATTCCACCATGCAGACTGGTCATGTGTGCTTTATATGTTTTTCTCTTTATGCTTTCGAAGTCGCAAACAGAACATTGGAATACCCACTCGGCAGAGGAAATTTGACTTGAGCTTAAATGATTAAGTTTCCTCTTTAAGGTCGTTTGAAAATCATGTTCATGTTGGTTTTCTTGCTCATCAGTAATGCTTTTAATTGAAATATTTCCGTTTTGGTACACTGTATAGTTTTCATTATTCACTTCCTGTTCCCCGTGTCCTTCAGTCTCTTCTGGTTCTTTTTGCGCTACTTTAATGACTGCCAAGTCTCCTTTGTCTCCGGTTGTGTAAGTTTCCAAGTCTGCTGCCGCAACAGACTTGCGTCGCTGCAGTTTTGGTTTGGGCTTATTTTCGTGCTCATATGCAATATGATTTTGCAATGCAAATTGTCGTACATATGTGCTAGGGCAGCGCTTGCACTTATAAATGCGTGAATCTTCAATTTCATGCTTGATTTTCAGGTGTTTTTTGTACATTTTAGGATTTACTGTTTTATATTTACAGTGTGTGCACTCGAATTCATAAGGTGCATTCGGATCATCCGCTGCGTTATTCTCGATAGTAGTGTTAACCATTGAGATTTCCTTGTCCAGTTGACTCTTGATGGTAGTGCTGCTTAGCACAGCCGAAGTATCAAAGGCAATGGTTTTACGTCGCTGGCTTTTTGGGCGTGGTTTATTGTCATGCACACATGCAATGTGATTTTGTATACCATTGATGCGCTGATATGTTTCTTGACAATACATGCACTGATAGATTCGCGGATTATCCACCTGATGCTCAATTAGCAAGTGCTTTTTGTACAAGTTTGCTTTGTTTGTTGTTAACTCACAGTGCGCACAATGAAAGGTCCAGACGTCACTCGATTTGGAGGCATCTTGCTTTTTTGAACTGTCCACCTCTTCATTCTCATTCTTTTTTCGTTGGTCTTCCCGCTCATCCGTGCTTTCATCCTGCTCGTTTTGTGAGAAGGCACTATTTAATAGGCGTTTCTTAAAACTTTTGTTGCCGGGCAAGGATTTTAAGAGACGTTCTAAAACGAATTCTGTTTTTATAAGGCCCACTGAGCACTCAGGGCAGATAAGGAATTTTGGAGGGAACTCAACCTGGTACAAAGAAAAGGTTTGTTATCATTTCCGTCAGCTTATTACATTTTACTCACATGATCACCAATTATAAAATCTATTACACTAGACAATTGTGTGCCTAGTACTCTATCCTTGGGATTAAAGAGTTTGGAATACTTATTTATACACAAACTGCACGAAGACATACTGGCCCCATTAATTTTCCTAAAGTCTAAATTATTAAAAAAAGCGTGGCTGATGCTTCTTCTTCACGTTCCATGTGCAA